GATGCGGGACTCGATCCCGGGACTCCGGGATCATGACCTGAGCCGAAGGCAGTCGCTCAACCGACTGAGCCACCCAGGCGCCCTGGAAGAGGCTTTGTTTGCAGTTCTGCTTCTCCCTCTGCCCAACCTTGATTCCTCCACCTTCCCCCTCTGTAAGTGTTGATTACTTAATAAATACCCTATAAGCCAAACCCCATCTGAGCATCTTCATCCTGGAAACCCCAACCTGTGATGCCAAGGAAACAAATGTTTACAGGGTTAGATAGCCTTCCCAGGGTCATGGTCTAGTGGGTGATAGAGCTGTGGACTCTGGGAGGTGATGCATTGTTTCTATAAGTATCTTCCCCACCCCACCCCGAACCCTGAATGTCAGGGAGGACCGTCAATGATGTGGTTCGGCTCTGTCCTGGTTTTCGGCTGTTTTAGTGAGGTGGCCTAGCAACATTTCACATGTTTCTATGGGACTCTGGGTTCTTAGTGACAAATGGCTGACTACATTGCAGAGTAGGAAGACAAGTTGTAGATTTCCCATCCAGTAACTAGGAAAAGATTCAGCGGGGCGCTCAGAAGTATGATGCTCTGAAGAAGCGCTATGTTGGCGGGGGTGTCAGGGATGGGAAGAGGGCTGCGTGGCAGGATGTCAGTAGGACAGGGAGGGGCCTCTGCAGAGAACTTGGAAAGCTAGCAGAGGACTCAAGGGAGGGAGTGTTCTGGTGAAAGTGATGTGTTACCAAGATAGGCATGATGCACGCAGTGGGCTGCTGGAGGGGTGACTGGGGCAGGGGGACAAGTCAGGCCAGGAAACTAGGGCAGCAGTGATGTCTCTTGGACTGGACTGGGGACATCAGAGAAGGAGAGACAGGGACAAACAACATGGCTTTGGAGTGGGAAGACAAAGAAGGAAGAAACAAATTAAAGATGAATTCCATGCCATTGAACACGAACATTTTAGTTCAACTGATTTAATTTTACTAGTAACCAGCGCAACTGTTTGGTTCCATTTCACCAATCAGCGTGACTTTCTCACATTTCAGTGAGCGTGCCTGAGATGTTTAAGGGTCTGGGGAAGTGGACAATTTTTAGGCTCTCCAGCGCAATCGATGTAACTTCTTACATGACCATTTCACAGTTCTGATGAGAAACTTTAAAAATTGTGGTCTTACCAAAATATGGAAAGAGTCCAGATGTCCATCGATGGATGAATGGATAAAGAAGATGTGATATATATATATATACATTCCATTGTATGTATAGTATCTATCTATCTATATATCTATATATCTATATATAGATAGATAGATACTATACATACAATGGAATATTACTCAGCATCAGGCAGGATGAATACTTACCATTACATTGATGTGGATGGAACTGGAGGGTATTATGCTGAGTGAAATAAGTCAATCAGAGAAAGACAATTATCATATGGTTTCACTCATATATGGAATATAAGACACAGAACACAGGATCATAGGGGAAGGGAGGGAAAACTGAATGGGAAGTCATCAGAGAGGGAGACAAACCATGACAGACTCTTAACTCTAGGAAACAAACTGAGGGTTGCTGGAGGGGAGGTGGGTGGAGGGATGGGGTAACTGGGTGAAGGGCATTAAGAAGGGCACTTGATGGAATGAGCACTGGGTGTTACATGCAACTGATGAATCACTAAATTCTACCCCTGAAACTAATGATAACTATATGTTAACCAAATTGAATTAAAAAAAATTAAAAAAATGGTGGTCTTTCATTTCCCAATTTCAGGGAAGTGAACTGTGTGTGGAAGGAGAAAAAGAGGTGAAAAAGATCACATTTCCTAAGGCGGGAGCCCCTGGGAGTCCCTGCTTTCATCCTGGAGGTTTCGGTGGCCTCAGGACCATAAACCTCGCCTTATCTCCTGACCCCACAGGTGGGTCCCTCCTCTGTGTCTCACAACATTGGTAAACCACTGGCATCACTTTGTAATCTGTTTTGCCCTTCCTCTTTAGATTTTGGGGTCCTCAGGTCAGGGGCTGTGTCATGACCGTGTGTGTTTCTCTCAACAAGCACGGAGAAGGCATTGAACACATACTTGATGAGTGAATGATTGAAAAGCTGACATAGAGTGGACAGTGGTTTATTTTCAAGTCTGGCTTCCCGAATTCAACACCACCTGCAGGCTACAGGTATGTGTGTGGGAGGGTACAACTTGGGGCGGCGATTGTCCATGCAGCTTTGTTTAGTCTCGGCAATGACTCTGAGAGCTGCAAGTTCCTGATTCCTTGGCTCAGAGCCAGAGGCCAGCCTATGGGCTTTTCTCCATGTTCCCTGGAGAAGTAAGTATGTTCTTCTGCTTCTGTCTGGCTTCTGCTTCAGGTCCAGGCAGAGCCCCCTTCTAGCTCATTTGCCATGGAAAGAGAAAGGTCCCTTCAGATCCCTCCTCTTAGGGCAGGTGTTTCCCGGGTGGGACACAACCAACCCTTTCTTCTTTCCTTGGCCTCCCTTGGCATATTTGGGCTCCTCTTTGATCTATTGTTTCATGGATACTGGATGTCCCTTGAAGAATCCTCCCTTGTTTACCCAATAGCAATGAACTCTTCACAAAAAAACACTTCTTACCAGAGTTCTCCAGCATAGAAGAGAGGTGGTGGAGAGGCTCTCTGACTTAGAGTGGGGTGTCACCCCTTTGAGGAGATGGAGGCTGCAGGAGGAGACATCTTGTTTGTGGGATTGGCTAATACAGAGAGTGGGGCAGAGTGCTAGTTGGAAGGAGGTTGAGATCAAGGGGAGACTTTGCCTCCAGGTGGAGGGCTTTGTCCTTTTGTCAGGTTAAAAACCCATGTCAGTAAATATTTGAAACTCTGGTGAAGTGAAAGCCACAGGGCACAGTGACAGGAGCCAAAGGGAAAAGCAAGCTAGGGGCTGGGCATCGCAAGGGGAGCTCCGTGGATGAAGTGGGGCATGGGGAGCAGGTAGAGAGGCAGAGAGGGACAATTCCAAAGAGAAGAGGTTAGGCAAATAGAGTGACAGCAAATTCCCCAAGAGATGATAGAGTGGAAGATATGGAAGAGCAGTGTGGGTGGCTCGTAGGAGTCTCATCCCCAGGCCTGCATCAGTCATCTAGGGAATTTAAAAATAGACTGATGTTGGGCCTTTCACCCACTGGCCTGGGGTTCGGTCCAGGTATTGGTCTGAGTGATTCTAATGTACCAGCTGCTTAAGAAAGACAGCTTTGGGCTTAGGAGAGGGGCTGCTATTTCCAGTGGAGGTGGAGAGGAAGAGAGGGCTGATGGAAAAATTGAAGATAGTAATATGTACATAATATCATGTATTTTTCTAGTTCTTTTCTTCGCATTTCTCAGACTCTAAAGTGCAGATGCATCCCCTGGGGATCTTAGTAAAATATGAATTCTGATTCAGTAAGGCTGGCTGGGGATCGAGAGTCTGCATTTCCAACACACTCCCAGGGGATGTCACTGCTCCTGGACCACGCTTTGGTTGGCAAGGCATAAGGTTTACGAAGTGTTGACCATCTTGTTTTGCAGATGAATTATGATATGAGGCTCATATCAGGTAGGACTTAGCATCCTCATTATGCAGACAAGGACATAGAGATCAAGAGAAGGGAAGAGGCGCAGAGAGGGGCCCTGAGCAGTGATGTTTGGTGATCCTTTTGAGCCCCGGGCTACATACTTTACACCTGCTCCTCACTTAACCAATTTCCTCAGACCACACACCTGTAAGTGGTGAGCCCAGGACTTCTGACTCCAAGCACAGCGCCTGATCTTTTGCATTCCATCAGCCTTCTCCAGGACATAAAAGAACATTGTTATTATTGAAAGGGAGAGTGAGTAGGAATAGGAGCTTAGGGACAAAGAAGGGCATCTGGAGACACTGTTATAGGAAATCAGCCAAGGGATGGGGAAAGAGGCTGGGCAGGCATTACAGCCAACTTGCTGTTGGCCCTTCTAAGTCAGCAGTGGATGAGATCCTCTGTTCCATTAAGGGGATGGCTCCAACTGTGCCCTAAATGCAAGCCGAGAAGGCACATGGGTGGACTTCCTGCAGTCAGGGAGATGAGAAAGTTTATAATCTAGGACAGGGGTTCTCAAACTTGAGTGAACATCAGAATCACCTCGGGGGCTTGTTAGACACAGAGTGTGCCCCGCCCTCTGAATTTTAGGGGATCTGGGGTGGGGCCCAAGAATATACATCTCCAACAAGTTCCCAGATGATGTAGATGCTGCTGGTGCCAGGACCCCGCTTTGAGAAACAATGGAGCAGTTCCCTGGCTATAGATCCCCTGAAAGTCAATGAGGTCAGTTAGAGCCAGAGTGGGCTGTTGAGCCTTTTGTGATGAAGTCCAGGGAGTGAAAGTTTAAAAGAGGGGAAAGGTAGTTTGATGGGCTCAGTGTGGTATAAATTGGCAAAGTCTGAGTCCTTGTCCTCTTGTTCACTTTTGAATCCATCGGGAGTGGGAGAAGTTGCTAGCTCTTGGAGTGATGGTGATGACCCCAGGGAAGTTAGACTTTTCTGGGGAAAGGTCAGCTTCTGCAAAAGGGATGCAGTGAGAAACACGGTTTGGGATCTTGCCCTGATGAAGTGGAGCAGGGGTTACTGTCCAAAAAGGCAGCCGCAGAAGGGCCTGCACACACCAGGGCGGGATGGGCTGGCCTTGTGGGTCCAAGGTGCAGGACAGGAGCCCCAGAGAGGGCAGCGGGGAGGACAAGATAAGAAGGAGATGCACAGAGCACGACTCCAGCATGGGTAGACCAGCACTCCCTACTGACAGGTGGCTAGTAAGTGATCACAAATGTAATGCTTCCTTCCACTTGCCTATAATTGCTGGTCTTTCAAATAACTCCTCTTTCTATTACCTCATTTGGCCCTTCCAGCATCCCTGTGAGTATGTGGAGAAGGTACTCTCACTTCAGGCTTATAGATAAGGAAATAACCACAGAGAAAATTATATAACTTGCCTGAAGAGACTGGGGAAGCTGCAGAACTAGGCAGAACTATTCTGGGGTTCCTGCTGTTTCTGGAAGCTGGTGAGGGCCTCAGGTTGTCTTGCTTTGAGGACAGGCCTGGGCATGACTCAGGGGATGCAGCGGGATGGAAAGGCCCTGCCGTGGTTCAGGGAGGGACCGGCTTCCTGGAAGGGCTCATTGCTGAGTTAGTTCGGTGAAGAGAGGAGACCAAGGTGCATTGCCTCAGGTGATGGGGGTTTGGTGGAGGAGGACCCAGAGAAGGAAGAGAGGTGGGGAACGTTTCCATAGGCCTCAAGGAGAACAGGGAGGCTCTTCAAGGTCTAGTGTTACTCTAGCAACCAGTTGTTCTCCCCTTGAAAATGGGGAGGGGGCTGGGAACCCGGCGTCCTCCACCAACTTCCCACCATTATGGTGCTCCACCTGTGTCTGCCTCTGGTCTCTCGCTGCCTAAGACTGGCCCTTCTTTCTGCTGCCCTGTGGCTCCTGATTCCTGCCCTGACTTTACGTATTGCTCCACTCCTTGTGATGCTCCTCATGTGTACTATACTGAAGCATTCTTAAAAATAATGACCTAGTTTGAGCATGGGCACAAGGGTTGGAGTCACAATCCACCTCTCAGGCTAATCCAGCAAACCCAGGTGGCCAGGCGATCTGGTGCCGAGCAGGTGTTGGAGCTGCCTGTGGGCGTGGTCGACCCTCAGAGGGCCTGCATCCCTTGCACGCCCCATCCCTTGCAAAAGCCAAGCAGACCCCCCAGTCCTAGGGGAATTGGAGAAGAACTGACATACTAGGCAGATTTCCAGAAATTGCCAGGATTTCCAGACATGGGGAGTGAGATGAGGTTTCATTTTCCAGACATGAAAGGCAGGGTCAGGGTGTGGTATCTGGAGCAACCCACAAGACCATAGCTGGGTGACATGTTAGGTGGAGTCGGTAAGGTCGAGGGGCACGGTGGTACGTGTCGGATGGCTGGCCTAACTGTCCCGAACCCCCTCCTGCTGGGGTCGGTCCTGCTCCTGGATACCGAGGCTGGGCTGGGCTTGCAGGGAAGGGTCTGCAGGCTTCAGCTGTGACAATAGGCAGGCCAGGGACATGATGGGCTGATCGAGGCCACAGGGGACAAGTCCAGATGGACCCACATGCAGCAAACCACAAAAACCACCATGTCTGCCTGGAGAAGGGGCCTTCACACATACCACATGCTTTCGGGACCCATTCTCACTTGTAAACTCCCAAGTGTTGGCAGAAGCACCTGATCTGTGAACGTATTCCTAAAGCCACTTCAGAGGAGACTCCTTCCCGGGGGGTTTAACTGGGGTTCATCGTCAGAAGCCATAGGATAACAATATAGGAGGGGGTGCCTGTGGGTGGTGAGTCCCCTGAGAATATTCCAGCAGAGGCTGAAGGGTCCCCGAGCAGCCGTCCTGCTCAGGGGTGGCAAGCATTGGCTGCAGGCAGGGTAGGGGTTGGACCCTGGGGTCTGGGAGGCCCCTCCTCTGTCTGACACCATATGGCTTAGAGGTTCTGGCCTCTGCCTTTACCAGGCCTACCATTCCCAGGCTGCCAGGAGCAGGAGGGGCCTCACAAGAGTCCTGGTGAGTTCCCTGCTATCTTGTAGGTAAATGGCAACTCATTTAGGATGCACAATTGTCTGAATGCAACATAATTATATGTGTAGGTCATAGCTATTTCTCATATGACCTCTCATACCGAAGTGAACTAAAGGCCAAGCAAATGTCTTCTTTTAAAGTCCCTTTGTCCCGCAGTGGTACTGTTCTCGTGGAGGATCAATTCTTATGCTGGGTTATAGTGATTTGCATACTCCGCTGTCTTCCCCGCTGGGCTCAGTGTCTCTAAGCAGGATTCGTGCTTTTTTTTTTTTTTTTAAAGATTTATTTTTTTATTTTTTTATTTGACAGAGAGAGAGACAGAGAGAGAAAGAACACAAGCAGGGGGAGTGGGAGAGGGAGAAGCAGGCTTCCCGCTGAGCAGGGAGCCCGATGCGGGGCTCGATCCCAGGACCCTGGGATCATGACCTGAGCCGAAGGCAGACGCCTAACGACTGAGGAACCCAGGCACCCCAGGATCCGTGCTTTTTAATAATAACTTTGACTTGTACTTGGCCATCTTCTTAGACAGACATCACACCGGGGGACCCTCACGCTTTGGGAGGGAGGCGAAGTGGGCTGTGCTGTTATATACCCATTTAGTAGGTATGGATTAAACTCCTTGCTTGGGCTCTATGTTGCAGCGGCTTGGGATCCCAGCACCGCTCGCCGCTCCATCCATGGCCTTCTGCACGCAGGGTACTTTGGTTCTCCACACCCGGGGTTTTCATCTACGAAAACATGCAGTTACCGTGAGACTTGAGAGAATATGTATGATTGATATATATATATAAAACCTTTCGCACAGTACCTTTCATCTAGCCAATGCTCAGTAAATGGTAGGCATTATTACTGTGAACAGAAAGCCTGAGACTTACTCCCACGTGATATTATTCATTATTATGCATTGAGCAATTACTGTGTGGTAAGCCTTGTGTTACCTGCTTTGGCCCAGTTAATCCTCACAAAACTGCAAGTTTTTGTTTTTTTTTTCTTCCCTGTTTTATAGATAAAGAAATGGACGGCGCCTGGGTGGCTCAGTTGGTTAAGCGACAGCCTTCGGCTCAGGTCACGATCCTGGAGTCCCGGGATCGAGTGCCGCATCGGGCTCCCTGCTCGGCAGGGAGTCTGCTTCTCCCTCTGACTCTCCCCCCTCTCATGCTCTCTCTATCTCATTCTCTCTCTCAAATAAATAAATAAAATCTTAAAAAAAAAAAAGAAGAAGAAAAAGAAATGGAGACCCAGAGAAGTGAGGTTCTTGATGGAGGTCGCCCTCTGTTCAGTGACACAGCCACATCCACGTCTTGTTAACCTTTATGTTTGTGCTTATCACCGTTATGCTGAGCTACTCCCCAGGTTCTTCGTGCTTCTGCTCCCTATAGGGCCTAGGCTCTGCGCTGGATCTAAAGGCAGGCAGGAACGACTTCTCAGACTCTGTTGGAGTTACTTGGGGTAACTTTCCAACAGTTTGGCTTACTTTCAGGCCATGCAAGAATTGAAAGGAAATAGGAGTTGTGGCTACAAGAGAGTCAGTGGACAAGCTCCCAGGGCCTTCTTCCCTCAGATCTGGGGTCATTTCAGCCCTCAGCAAGTAAGCAATCTTCCACCTACTTGGCTGGGGGCTAGGCCACATCTGCACACCTGGGTCCACCTGCCCTTCCCCCCCCCCCCAGGAAGCAAGTCCTTTTGCTCCTGGTCTAGTTTCCACGGCCTCAGAAGCCAACAGCAGCCTGCCAGGCCCACCTCCCTTGCACATAGAAGATGCTCAGGAATCAGGAAATAGCATCCGAGAGTGAATGCATTCAAGATAAAGGCAAAGCTCCGTGTTTTACGTGTTATATGTAGGAGTTTTGAAGACGAAGATTTCAAAGGATGCAAAAAAATTATAGACCCTGATCTGAACGGACTTAAATCAAAGGCTCTTTTTTTTTTTAAAGATTTTATTTATTTATTTGACAGAGAGAGACACAGTGAGAGAGGGAACACAAGCAGGGGGAGTGGGAGAGGGAGAAGCAGGCCTCCCGCAGAGCAGGGAGCCCGATGTGGGGCTCGATCCCAGGACCCCGGGATCATGACCTGAGCCGAAGGCAGACGCTTAACGACTGAGCCGCCCCGGCACCCCCAAAACCTCTTTGTTTAGAGGCCTGAGGGAAGCTAATATTCATAATATTGACTGCATCTTAATCTGCCAGATGAGTTCAACATTTTTCCTTATTAAAGCCTCCCAAAGCTACAATGATAATGGCCCTCTGTTGGATGCAGAGTGTATTATAATTACTAGAGGCAATGAAAAAGTACCCTTGTGTCACCTGTGATCTGTCCCTCCACCCCCAGCAGGAGTCTGTGAAGGGGCGGGGAGGGTGAGAGGGTAGCCTCCCTCCCCAAGTCTTCTCCACTGAGAACTCTGCCCTATGCAGTTACAGTGATTTCCCCCACTTGAAGTCTGAGAGTACAAGGTCAGACCCTTGCTCTGGCTCACGATCACATAATTATCTCCATGGCAGAGTTAGGATTGAAACTCACCTTTGTCTGGCTTTTCCCACTTCCCGATACCACCAGACGCTGTTTTGTGCACTGAAAGTTCAAGAGAACTGGGTTGATTTTTAACCTCACTTTTGGCTAGGGCATCACCCTCAGCTGAGTCTTACCTTCTCAGTCTCTTGCTGGTTTTTCCCTCTCGCCTGGGGGCGCATTCCCTGGGATTGAACAGTAGGAGGGCTCAAGGAAGCTACACTTTGGCGTCTTCTGAAGGTGCTCAGGGTCAAGGTTATATTTAATACAGTACGAGCTTGCTATCCTGAAAACGTTTGAAGTGATTATTTGCAAACATGTTTTTGGCCACAGGCAAATGCGATGAGAGCGGGGATATTGAGTTAAGGCAGAAGCAAGTCAGAGTTTTGTAATATATAACCTGTCTTCGGGACTCCGGACCTTGGAATAGAGATATTCAAATACCTGAGTGTACTTACTTTCTTCTGTTTTCATTGGGATGTTTGGCTGCAGGGAGGCAAACCTGAATTGGATCATTAATCCTGTTTCCTCAATGTAGAGCTTTATTCACACACATGTGCTTAGCATGGAATAGATGATCAAGCTGGGTTTGTTGAACTCCTGAAGAATGTCACTTTGCCTGCTTTTTTTTTTTTATGGTGCTAAAATATCATAAAATATACCATTTTAACCGGTTTTAAGTTTACAGTTCAGTGGCATGAAGTACATTCACGTTGTTGTATGACCATCACCACCATCTGTCTCCAGAATTTTCTCATCATCCCAAACACTAATGCCCTATTTCTCTTCCTTTCCCAGCCCCTTGTAACCACCACGCTAATTTCTGCCTCTACGAATTGGACTGCCATAGGGACCTCACAGAAGTGGAACCATCCAGTATTCCTCCTTTTGTGGCCGGCTTATTTCACTGAATGTAATGCCCTCAAGATGCATCCGCATTGTAGTGCTTGCCAGAAGTTCCTTCCTTTTCTAGGCTGAATCGTATTCCATTGTATGTACCCATCACATTTTGTTTATCTGCTCATCAGTTGATGGACGCTCAGGGGGTTCCCACCTTTTGGCTGTTGTGAATAATGCTGCTATGGATGTGGGTGCCCAGATATCTGCTCAAGCCCCCGCTTTCCATCTTGTCTGCTTATCTTCATATCCTGTTTCATCGTTCGCCCTGAAAATTCCTACTCTTTCCAGTCTCCTGGAATAGCACTTGGCAGGGGGGGGGGGTGTCCTCTTTCAATGCTCTCTTGTAAAGCCTAACAAAAAAAATGATTGGAGAAATGTTTCTGATAATAAACTTGTGGGAAAAGCTATTTTGTATCCTGCTTTGAATCTTGCAATTTAATTGTCCACGTTTAATTCCACTTCAGGGCACATCAAGCCATTGATCTTTTTGCTTACTTGCCACCATGTGGTTTGTGGAGGGTGGAGTGGCCCATTCCTGTGCGATGTGGGGCTCCTGGCTCTTCGCTCCTTTTATAACATTCTGCACATGTTCGCTTGAGCCTGGCAATTGCCCTGCTCTATCACGCTCTGTCACTTCCTTCTCTGTATTTCAGATTGAGCTTCCAAAGCCCTGAGCAGCTGCCTGGTTGAGAAGTCATTAAACCAAAAAAAAAAAAAAAAAAAAAGGGAGGGAGAGAGAGAGAGAAATCAGTACTTAGAGAATAGCTCAGTTCTGTTGAACTCACTCTAAAAACTTTGGCTTTATTCAGGTCTTAACCATAATGCCTCATGAACCCTTCCATCTGGGTATCGTTCCGCAGTGCGCTTTGTTGGGGTGGAAGAGGACGGGTAGCCCTGCCTTGTTCTTCATCACAGTAAAGTTATTCTGCGTCTCAAAAGGCCTCATAAATCTGCTCCCCAGATGGAAGTCTCCATAGAAGGCTCCTCTCTTTGTGCAAGTCTCAGATTTCCCTTCAATTAAAATTCAACAAGTGAATAATCAAATGGATGAGGTAAATTGTAATACTAAAAAAAAATATATATATATATATATATGTATTTTTTTTTTAAGTGAGTGCTATTGTGAATTCCGATCTCCCTCCTCAGTTTATGAGTAGCTGTATCTATAGTAGGTTAACTGGCAAGTCCTCAAACAAGTCAAGGATAAGCCAAAGGTCATTAACCAACACACAGCTTTGGGTAAACAAAATGTCTCCAAGTCTCAACATATTAATTATTTATTTCTCCAAGGGAATTTCATAGCATGGGTTTGAGTTTATTAGGGTAGTTTGTAAGATCCTAAGGTTTAATCTTTCTTTCTTTTAAAAAAATATTTTATTTTATTTTATTTTTTGAAATTAATTAATTTTTTAAAATTATAAATTCAATTAGCCAAGGTATAGTACATCATTAGTTTTTGATATAATATTGAATGATTCATTAGTTAAGTATAACACACAGTGCTCATCATATCATGTGCCCTCTTTAATGCCCATCACCCAGTTACCCCATCCCCCTACCCACCCCCCTTTCTGCAACCTTCAGTTTGTTTGCCGGAGTCAAGAGTCTCATATGGTTTGTCTCCCTCTCTGATTTCTTCCCATTCAATTTTCCCTCCCTTCCCCTATTGTCCTCTGCACTATTCTATATGTTCCACATATGAGTGAAACCGTATGATAATTGTTTCTCTGATTGACTTATTTCACTTAGCATAACACCCTCCAGTTCCATCCATGTCGATGTAAATGGTAGATATTCATCCTTTCTGATGGCTGAGTAATATTCCATTATATATATGAACCACATCTTTTTTATCCATTCATCCATTGAAGGACATCTTGGCTCCTTCCACAGTTTGGCTATTGTGGACATTGCTGCTATGAACATTGGGGTGCAGGTGCCCCTTCGGATCACTACATTTGTATCTTTGGGGTAACTACCCAGTAGTGCAATTGTTGGGTCATAGGATAGCTCTATTTTTAACGTCTTGAGGAAGCTCCATACTGTTTTCCAGAGTGGCTGCACCCGCTCGCATTCCCACCAACAGTGTAAGAGGGTTTCCCTTTCTCCACATCCTCGCCAACATTTGTTGTTCCCTGTCTTGTTAATTTTAGCCATTCTGACGGGTATAAGGTGGTATTTTATTTTATTTAAGTAATCTCTACACCCAATGTGGGGCTCGAACTCATGACCCCAAGATCAAGAGTTGCATGCTTTACCAACTGAGCCAGTCAGGTGCCCCAGGTTTAATTTTTCTTTAAAGAAGTTATGGGAAAGGTAGAGTAGGAGGCCAAAGGCATAGGCTTCAATGTGACCTTGGGAGTGAATAAGTGACCTTGGAGTGAAGAGCAGGATCTCAAGTGCTGGTCTGGGGTCTCCCTCCCTGCCCTACGGACCTCGGAGATAATAGTGCATTTGGGACTGGTGGCCTAGTGGCCTGGTGGCTTGGTGCTGTGTGACACCATAGGGCACTGACTCATGACACCACGCAGGACCGCACACTTCCCATCTCTAAGTCAGAACCCTCACAGCAGCCCAGGGGCTTTCAGTCCCTCCCTCTCCCACACCAGAGCTGGGGCTACCCTCTGTTCAGGGTTGCTGCTTTGTGCCATTGGTATAAAAACCATGCAGTCCTCTTTCTACCTGCCACGCAATCCTCTACGCCTTTTAGAATTTGTTTTTATTATTACAAAAGTACCACATGTTGATTGAGACAATTTTAAACAATACACAGCAGCATAAAAAACTTAATCCTCTCCCTTTCTTCGGGTTTCTCCCCCATCATCACAGAATTGGATGTGAATCCTTTTGATTTCTGATTATATAGAAATGCAAATCATCTGTCAGATTGTTTTATCTTAAAGAAGTGGAGTCGTATTTTACCTATTATTTTTGCAATTTGTTTTTCACTTAGCAATATATCATGGCTATCTTCCCCGATCTGTATATTGAGACTTAAATCATTTGAGTTGCATAACATTACATGCAAAAATTTGATTTATCTATTCTTGTGGATAGACTTACCAGTTGTTTCTCATTTTTTACTGTTATAGACAATACTGCAACTGAAATCCTGTGTATATAAGTACTGAAGCTTTTATTTCTGCAGAATAAATATCTTGAAGTGGGATTGCTGGGTATGCCCAATTTTAACTTTAACATATGCTGAAACAGTTTAATTTTCCAAAGATAGAGAAATTCACACCACCACCAGTAATGTACAAGAGTGCCCACTTCTTCACATTCTCACAAAGACTGATGCTGTTCCGGCTTGTCAGAGGTATCTCATTATCAGCTCCATTTTGAATTCTCTGATTACTAGTGAGATTGAGCATTTTTTTTCTGTCAACTATGGGTTGTTTTGCATTTCCTCTCATGTGAATTGTGTGCCTATATATTATTTTTCATACTTTTTGGTTGCTTCTATTTTTATTGTTAATTTGTATGATCAAAAAAATTAGTGAAATTAACCCTGAGGCTGTCATAATGATACAAATATTTTCTTCCAATCTTTGTTCATCTTTTGACTTTGTGATGTCTTCTGTCATGCAGACGCCATGGCAAAATTTTCTCATAGTCAGATCTCTCAATATTTCTTTTTTGGCTTCTGAGATTTTTGTTTTGCTTAACACCTTCTCTAATTCAAGCAAACTTTCCCTGTAGGTATTTGATTTTAAAACTTTTATTGCTTATTTTCAATAAGTTAAAATTCTATTCTCTCTCAGAATTTATTTTTTTTAAAGATTTTATTTATTTATGTATTAGAGAGTGAGAGAGAGAGAAACAGCATGAGAGGGGAGAAGGTCAGAGGGAGAAGCAGGCTCGCCGCTGAGCTGGGAGCCCGATGTGGGACTCGATCCCAGGACTCCAGGATCATGACCTGAGCCGAAGGCAGTCGCTTAACCAACTGAGCCACCCAGGCTCCCTCTTGGAATTTATTTTTTAATATGGTGTGGAGAAAGGGGCATCTAATTAAATTTTTTTCTAGATGCTTTCCAGTTATGCCAACATCATTTATGAAATAATCCATCCCCCCCCATTTGAATTGATGTACTTTCTTTATCATATAGTAAGTTCCCATATACCCCTTGACTCTGCTTCTGGGCTTTCTGTTCTCTTTCATTTTTTTAAAAAATAGTTTATTTATTTTTGCATGTGTGCAAGAGAGAGAGCATGCGAGCACATGAGCAGGGGGCAGGGGGAGGGGCAGAGGCAGAGGGAGAAGCAGACTCCCCGCTGAGCAGGGAGCCCAATGCGGGACTTGATCCCACTACCCTAGGATCATGACCTGAGCTGAAGGCAGATGCTTAACTGACTGAGCCACCCAGGTGCCCTCTCTTCTCTTTCACTGATTTATCTGTTCCTGTGCCAATTCTACAGTGTTTGTAATGGCTTTAATCATTAGTTTTAATACATGGAATGACAAGCTCCCTTACCATTTATTTCAAACCATTTTTGGCAATTTCTGTACATGTATTCTTCCACAGAAATGTTAAGATGATTTATCTAGCATGTAAACATTTTCTTGGTGTTCTGATGGGTATTCTTAATAAATCATTATACTAATTTTGGAAGATACATATTATTTCATTGTTTTCCCATCCAGGATCATTTTGTTTTATGTCTTTCAGTAAAATTCTGGGGACACCTGGGTGGTTCAGTTGGTTAAGTGTCTGCCATCGGCTCAGGTCATGATCCCAGGGTCCTGAGATCGAGTCCCACATCGGGCTCCTTGCTCAGCAGGGACCCTGCTTCTCCCTCTGCCTGCCGCTCCCCCTGCTTGTGCTCTCCATCTCCTCTTTTTCTCTGACAAATAAATAAATAAAATCTTAAAAAAAATAAAATAAAATTCTGTAGCTTATTTAGTTTAAGCTGCACATGTTTCTTGTTACCTTCATTCAAAGATATCTTGTGTTTTCTTCTCTACAACGAATAAGGTGGTTTTTCCATTTCCTTAAGACTTTATATATTTATTTATTTTAGAGCAGTTTTAGGTTCACAGCAAGATTGAGAGGAAGGCACAGAGATTACCCATATACTCTGCTCCCACACATGCACAGCCTGCCCCACTATCATGGACATCCCCGACATTTGAGTGGTGCATTTGTTACAACTGATGAACCTGCACTGACAAGTCATACCACACAAAGTCCATAGTTTACATTAGGGTTCACTCCCAGTGTCGTACATTCTATGGGTTTGGGCAAATGTATAATGACGTGGATCCATCATTATAGTATCATACACAGTATTTTCACTGCCCTAAAAATCTTCTGTGCTCTGCCTATTCACCCCTCCCCTACCTGGCAACGACTGATCTTTTTACTCTTTCCAGTACTACTATTTCCAGTGATGTCTTTCCAGAACATCATAAG